GATAAAGTTGAACCACAAGTTATAGGCATTGCAGTCATGTTCGCTATTTACGGTATACACCACGAGTAGATCGACTCAATTCACAGACTGGGCTGGGGAAGTACTTGAGTCTAGACCAAACTCATTAGAATGGGAAGAATCTATTTTAGTACAATTTACACCCGGTGCTGCTTGGGAAGACCTGGCAGAGAGCAGCAGAAAATATGAGGAGTGTATATATTTATATATATATATGCTGCTGTGAATGGAACCTATTTCGTATCGTAAAATTATGTGTACCTTTCGCAGTGGATATATAGGTGTTGATAAGGATGTGTTGCCTTCTTGGTGTATATAAATTTGGTGATTCCCAACATACCTTCAGCATGCGGCACTGTCGTTCCTTCATACGGCGCAAGTACCGTTTCATTTGACTGCGATGTATTAGTGAGGACTGATAGTATACGTGCTAGTAGATAGCTACTTGGTTTAACTCCTGTGCGTCGTTCTGCTTGAGTCGCAGATTGGATATTATACTCGATATTGTTACAACAGAATAGAAATTAAATACGAAACGGTATACAGCAAATCGTGTGGTAAACATACCAAGACATAAGTTTGTGATTTTTGGTTGTGTGAAGTAAGAACACAAGCCTTCAGTCTAGGGATAAAAATAAGTACAGAGCAGTCTCATAAAACAATATCTGTCAGGGCCCTTGCGTTGTCGTTTTAGCAATGTGGATCACATAATTGGATTTCCTTTTCTTAAAACTAGAAAATAGGCCATCTATTTAGGATTGAATATCTGGAAACAAGGTCGTGTACTATCTCAATTTATCAGAGCTTTATCATATGCAGAGATAGAGATCTAATTTTATCTGTCTAAACATATCGTACTTGCACGTTAAGACAGTAACACCAGTTCTCCTAGCGTCATTCAACCCAAACCAAATCGAACCAACCCGTTAAAAATACAAACATAAGTAGAAGAATACATGTTTTAATTACTATCTGTAGCCCAGTGTGCGTCCGGCAGCAAAGGTTCATGGCTCAAGTACTGTTCACACTGTAGCGCCGCTTGACAGCCACTGCCTGCAGCGGTGATCGCCTGACGCCACTGTCTGTCTTGTACATCTCCGCATGCGAAGATACCTGAGTACATTGCAAATTATTGAAGATATATTACAAACGATTAAAGGGGCATATGATTGTGTAGGCTGCTAGGTATACTACAGATGTACACGTATGCATGCTGTATAGTGTCTGGGGACGATTCATTCATCAGACGGGCAGATATCTGGAGATAAACCAGCATCACTCAGCAACCTAAAACCCTAAAAACCGCATGACTCAGTACCTACTCCCTTCCTACAAATACGAAAACACGTAAGGTATATCCACTCCAAACCCTATCTTCTACGACAAGCTTAGTTGATCCACACTCAAGTCATGTATACATATACAAATACTAGTTGCACTAGGCTCATCCACGTACACATATACACTATATCCACACCAACACTACCTTCTACGTTAGTCTTAGTTGAACCACACTCAGTGACGTACACATATACCCTATATCCACACAAACACTACCTTCTACGTTAGTCTAAGTTCAACCAGGCTCAGTCACGTACACATATACAAATATAACGTACACATACACAAATACAACGTACCCTATATGCACACTACCCCCACCTTCTACGTTAGTCTTAGTTGAACCACACTTAATCACGTACACATATACAAATATAACGTACACATATACAAATACAACGTACACATATACCCTATATGCACACAACCCCCACCTTCTACGTTAGTCTTAGTTGAACCACACTCAGTCATGTACACATATACAAATATAACGTACACATATACAAATACAACGTACACATACACCCTATATGCACACAACCCCCACCTTCTACGTTGGTCTAAGTTCAACCACACTCAATCTCGTGCACATATACAAATATAACATACATATATACAAATACAACGTACACAACACCTACCTTCTACGTTAGTCTTAGTTGACCCAGGCTCAGTGACGTACACATATACAAGTACAACGTACACATATACCCGATATGTACACAACCCCTACCTTCTACGTTAGTCTTAGTTGACCCAGGCTCAGTCAGGATATACCCGTCCTCGTCTACGTTCAATTGGCCCTGGAGAAACGCCGTTGCAGGCGTATGCCCAATGGCGAAAAACAGCCCAGCAGCCTCAAGCTCTATCCTCGACTTGTCCGTAGTACTCTCGACCTAAGAGTAAGTGTAAGTGTAAGAGTAAGTGGGATTGTATGTGCAAGTGCAAGTGTACGTGTAAGTGTAAGTGTAAGTGAGTAAGTGTAAGTGTAAGAGTAAGAGTAAGTGGGAGTGTATGTGCAAGTGCAAGTGTACGTGTAAGTGTAAGTGTAAGTGTAGTGTAAGTGTAAGTGTAAGTGTAAGTGTAAGTGTAGTGTAAATGTACGTGTAAGTGTAAGTGCAGTGTAAATGTAAGTGTTAGTGTAGTGTACGTGTATGTGTAAGTGTAAGTGCAAGTGTAGTGTAAGTGTAAGTGTAAGTGTAGTGTACGTGTATGAGTAAGTGTAAGTGTAAGTGTAGTGTAAGTGTAAGTGTAAGTGTAGTGTAAGTGTAAGTCTAGTGTAAGTGTAAGTGTAAGTGTAAGTGTAGTGTAAGTAAGTTACGTGTAAGTGTAAGTGTAAGTGTACGTGTACGTGTACGTGTACGTGTAAGTGTAAGTGTAAGTGTAAGTGTACGTGAATGGCCTTATCGCTGTTTGTTGTTGCTGGTGATGTAGATACTAAGCTTTTATAATTGACAGTCTAGCACCCGCACCCCGTGCTACTGAAACCATTCTCCGCTTGATGACCGTGGTAGCCAAGATGGCTATCACCATACTCATCTTGGCCTAAGGGTTTTAGGGTTTTATAGTTTTAGGGTAAAACCATAAACTAAAACCCTAACCCTACACATACCTAATGTCCCAAGATGTGTAAACCCTAAAACCCTGAAACCCATCCAGGTGAACACCCCTACCCAGACCGTAAAGTACGGATAGTCTGGACTGACTGTTGAACATATATGTGCTTATATCGACCCTCAACCGGTCATATACTATAAGTTGTTATAGGGCTTATGATTTATGGTGGTGATAGTGCTGTTTATTGTTGTTACTACATATTACCTGCGTGTATAGAGGGATATGTTGTGATGGTGATGGTGCTGCTATATTGACTGAGTGTATAGAGGGATATGATGAGATGGTGATAGTGCTGTTTGTTGGTAATACTATATATTGACTGAGTGTATAGAGGGATATGATGTGGTGGTGATAGTGCTGTTTATTGTTGTTACTACATATTACCTGCGTGTATAGAGGGATATGTTGTGATGGTGATGGTGCTGCTATATTGACTGAGTGTATAGAGGGATATGATGAGATGGTGATAGTGCTGTTTGTTGGTATTACTATATATTGACTGAGTGTATAGAGGGATATGATGTGGTGGTGATAGTGCTGTTTGTTTATAGAGGGATATGATGAGATGGTGATAGTGCTGTTCGTTGGTATTACTATATATTGACTGAGTGTATAGAGGGATATGATGTGGTGGTGATAGTGCTGTTTGTTGTTATTACTATATATTGACTGGGTGTATAGAGGGATATGATGTGGTGGTGATAGTGCTGTTTGTTGTTATTACTATATATTGACTGAGTGTATAGAGGGATATGATGTGGTGGTGATAGTGCTGTTTGTTGTTGTTACTATGTATTGACTGAGTGTATAGAGGGATATGATGTGGTGGTGATAGTAGCGTTTGTTGTTATTACTATATATTGACTGAGTGTATAGAGGGATATGATGTGGTGGTGATAGTGCTGTTTGTTGTTGTTACTATATACTGACAGAGTGAATAGAGGGATATGATGTGGTGGTGATTGGTGGTCCTTTGGCTTGAGCATAATAGTACATAGTGTATTGTGGTGATTTGTGTACCAACTAAGCATTGCGGTGATTGGTGTGTTGTGGCAGTGGATTTGATTGTTGTGTTGCGATAGTTGATTTGTTGACCAAGCAAATCTGGACATAGTCATTGATATCGACACTAACCACACCACGGCATATGTTAATGGGGCGGAGAAGGTCGCAGAATGATCTTTACCAGATACACCTTCACCTATGTACAATAATCAGATATATCACCAGAAATAACTTCACCTATGTACAATAGCCAGATATGTCTCCAGATACACCTTCACCTATATATAATAATGAGATATATCACCAGATACACCTTCACCTATGTACAATAATCAGATATATCACCAGATACACCTTCACCTATGTACAATATACCGTCTAGCACTCAAGGGGTGTCAACACAGAACAACCCCATACGACAGCAAGCCGGAACCACTGAGCTGTGCAGCATATGGTGTGAGAGACGTTCGAGTACATGCGCATGGCACTCACATTCGCTGCATGTGACTTAGACGCAGTCGAGTGATTGGCGCTGTGTGTGCGGTTACTATGTGCCTATATATCTAACTACACTTGCACGCGTGTGTGTGTATGTGCTATCACACTTTGGAACCAAACACATCCACACTTAAAGACCAGATACACACGTGTGTGTGTGTGTGTGTGTGTGTGTGCTGCCACACTTTGTAACCAATCACAGCCACACTAAAGACCATATACACACGCGTGTGTGTGTATGTGCTATCACACTTTGTAACCAATCACACCCGCACTAAAGACCATATACACACGTGTGTGTGTGTGTGTTGCCACACTTTGTAATCAATCACAGCCACACTAAAGACCATATACACACGTGTGTGTGTGTATGCTATCATACTTTGCAACCAAACACGTCCACACTAAAGACCATATACACACACGTGTGTGTGTGTGTATGCTACACACATGTGCGGATGTTTGGTTCCATACGCATGCACGTACATACCACCACGCTTTGTAGGAACTCGTTTCCTTTGGCTTCCACAGGCACAGAGTTGTAGACAATCTCTATCTTGTCATTCTTCTGCGCTCGCTTCTGCATGATCTTAGATGCGCGCAGCGTATCGCGTCTATGCAGGATGTAAACCTTTGTATGTGGATGTAGAGTGTAGAGTATGGTCAATATGTGACTTATGTGGATGTAGAGTGTAGAGTATGGACAATGTGTGACTTAAAAGGAGATAAACCTTTGTATGTGGATGTAGAGGGCATAACAAGGTCAATGTGTGGCTTATAGTACCTACTAGATAGAAGGTGTAGATGTATATGCATGTTCAGTCTCTATCTATGCAGGATATAAACCTTTGTATGTCGATGTAGATGCAGGATATAAACCTTTGCATGTGGATGTAGAGGGTATAACATGGTCAATGTGTGACTTAGAGTACCTACTAGACAGAAGGTGTTGATGTATATGCATGTTCAGTCACTCTCACGCCCGTATTCGTGACCAGCCAATATACAATGCATGTTTTAAAACGGCTACAGGAGAATCTATTAATAAGATCCATGACAATCACCTACACGCACACCGCACACAAAGAGAACTCAAGCGCTGAGGAGAAGTATGGCATGAACACATACTAACATGTGGGAATATGTTTATATTAATATATATTTACACACGTACATACCACACGTACATACGAACATTGGGAATATGTACATATCAATATGTATTTACACGCACACATACGAATATATGGGAATATGTATATATTAGTATATATTTACACACACACATTCTAACATATGAGAATATGTCTATATTCATATATATTTACACGCACAGATACGAACATATGGGAATATGTCTATACAAATATATATTTACACGCACACATACTAACATATGGGAATATGTTTACATAAATATATATTTACACGCACACATACTAACATATGGGTATATGTTGATATAAATATATATTTACACGCACACATACTAATGTATATGGGAATATGTTTATACCGATATATATTCACACACAGGCAAACTGTCCGGCTACAACACAGTGCCTTTGGTACAAATTTGGCTAGAAAAAAACACCTTCTAATCCAAATAGCCCCCGCCTACATGAACTGCCGGCCGAATACAAAAACCCTAACCCCACGGCTCACTCCGGCAAAGTTCCAGTACAAACCGCCCATGTGGATAAACTTGACCGAGAGACTACCTATACGTAGGCCTTCACAGATACCAACATACACAAGTGTGCCTATAAGCACACATATTCACACAGCATGCTGTACCAACAGACACAAGTGAGCCTATAAAAACACATAACCACACATAACCACACACCATACAGTACCAACATGCACAAGTGTGCTTATAAGCACACATAATCCCACACCATACAGTACCTTTGATGCGAATTTGGTTAGGAATATAGCCTCTTCCATAGCCGAGTCACCTCCACCCACCACCACCAACGGCTGATTACGGAACAAAGGCAGCGCCCCATCACACACCGCACACGCAGACACTCCCCTCTGCCAGAACTCACTATCATTCGCACCCGGAAAGTACAGCCGCCTAGCCGTAGCCCCGGTAGCTACAATAACGGCCTTGGCCTGCACCTCCCGTGCTGATGTGGTGATGGTGAACATCGCATCGTTCTCGTTAAAGTGTACAGCCGACAGATGCCGCCTGTCTGACCCGTCGTTGTAGGGCTCCCCACTCTCACCGTCTGCGCTATCCCCGTCATCTGCCGTGCCCGTGGTGTAGGTGCCTATTTTCAGCTTGGTCACGGTTTCGGTGTAGATTTTAGTACCGAACCGCGCGCTTTGTTTGCGGAAGGCTGTGCATAGATCACCCCCCAGTATACCGTCGGGAAACCCAGGATAGTTCTCTACATCGGTGGTGGTAGTCAGCTGGCCCCCTGCGGAGGCAGAAGGGACGACACACCGGAGTGTTGACGTATTACTTTGGAATGGTATGGGAAAGGATGGTAGAGGTATCTATGCTACTGGATGGTGTAGGATGATAAACGGTATGAGTGTTATGTGCCGACAAACGCCCACGTCCGACGAACGGGCACGTGGGTAGTCAAAAACACTGTGTAATTAACTATGGATGATAGCTTCCTGTACGCTGAGTGCATGCCCGTGTTGGGTTGATCCTCCGATTGTATATAACATGTTGGTTGCTGCATTTGTAAGATACTTGCGTATAGTTACTAGACTTTTGCGTAACTTAAATGTATGTACCTATTTGGAATCTGCGCAAATACTGGTAGCCCGAATCGCGAAAATCCAATGCAGTGTGATGAGAAGTATGATAAGATACTGCATACACAGGCTGCTTTCGCCAATCTTGCAAATAGTTACTTAGAAGGTATCGACTATACGTGTATATACTTGGTATTTGTAATCTGCGCAAAGAATGGTATCCTCATTCGAAGACAAATTGAGGCGCAGCAACTAATTCTATTATGAATTTATCGTTGGGTTCAAGGCACACAGGGGATAGGT